TGATGGGTGTATGTTGTTACCTGTAATGTATATCAACTGTAATGGGTGTATGTTGTTAACTGTAATGGGTGCATGTTGTTAACTGTAATGTATGTTAACTGTAATGGGTGTATGTTGTTACCTGTAATGTATATTAACTGTAATGGGTGCATGTTGTTAACTGTAATGGGTGTATGTTGTTAACTGTAATGTATGTTAACCGTAATGGCATGTTGTTAACTGTAATGGGTGCATGTTGTTAACTGTAATGTATGTTAACTGTAATGGGTGTATGCTGTTACCTGTAATGTATATTAACTGTAATGGGTGTATGTTGTTAACTGTAATGCATGTTAACTGTAATGGGTGTATGTTGTTAACTGTAATGGGTGTATGCTGTTAACTGTAATGTATGTTAACCGTAATGGGTGTATGCTGTTAACTGTAATGGGTGCATGTTGTTAACTGTAATCGTATGTTAACCGTAATGGGTGTATGTTGTTAACTGTAATGTTTGTATGTTGGTTAACTGTTATGGGTGTATGTTGTTAACTGTAATGTATGTTAACAGTAATGGGTGTATGATGTTAACTGTAATGTATGTTAACTGTAATGGGTGTGTATTATAACTGTAATGGCGTAATGCTGTTAACTGTAAATGTATGTTAACAGTAATGGGTGCATGCTTGTTAACTGTAAATGTATGTTAACTGTTATGGGTGCATGTTGTTAACTGTAATGGGTGCATGTTGTTAACTGTAATGGCGTATGTTGTTAACTGTAATGTATGTTAACCGTAATGGGTGTATGTTGTTAACTGGTAATGTATGTTTACTCGTAATGGGTATGTTGTTAACTGTAAATGTTTGTTAACTGTAACGGGTGTATGCTGTTAACTGTAATGGGTGCATGATGTTAACTGTATTGTATTTTAACCGTAATGGGTGCATGCTGTTAACCGTAATGGCAGTCTGTTGTTAACCGTTACGGGTGCATGCTTGTTAACTGTAAATGGCAAGTCCGTTGTTAACTGTTATGGCAGTATGCGTTGTTAACTGTAAACGCTCTTGTTAACCGTAATGGGTGCATGTTGTTAACCTGTAATGTATGTTAACCGTAATGGGTGCATGCCTGTTAATTGTAACGTATATATGTTAACCGTAATGGTGTCTGTTGTTAACTGGTTATGGGTGCATGTTGTTAACCGTAATGTATGTTAACCGTAATGGGTGCATGTTGGTTAACGGTAATGCATGTTAACCGTAATGGTAGTATGTTGTTTACTGTAATGCATGTTAACCGTAATGGGTGTATGTTGTTAACGGTAATGTATGTTAACTGTAATGGTAGCATGTTGTTAACTGTAATGTTTGTTAACCGTAATGGGTGCATGTTGTTAATTGTAATGTATATATGTTAACCGTAATGGTAGTATGTTGTTAACTGTAATATATGTTAGCTGTAATGGGTGTATGTTGTTAACTGTAATGTATGTTAGCTGTAATGGGTGTATGTTGTTAACTGTATTGTATGTTATCTGTAATGCGTATGTTGTTACTGACTGACTGACTGAGTTTGGTTTTACGCCGCTTTTAGCAATATTCCAGCAATATCACGACGGGGACTCCAGAAATGGGCTTCACTCATTGTACCCATGTGGGTTTCGAACCCGGCCTTTCGGCGTAACGAGCCAACGCTTTAACCACTCAGACTACCCCATCGCCCAGCATGTTGTTAACTGTAATGTATGTTAACTGTGATGGGTGTATGTTGTTAACTGTAACGGGTGTATGTTGTTAACTGTAATGTATGTTAACTGTAATGGGTGTGTGTTGTTAACTGTAATGGGTGTATGTTGTTAACTGTAATGGGTGCATGTTGTTAACTGTAATGCATGTTAACTGTAATGGGTGTATGTTGTTAACTGTAATGTATGTTAACTGTAATGGGTGTATGTTGTTAACTGTAATGTTTGTTAACTGTAATGGGTGTATGTTGTTAACTGTTATGGGTGTATGTTGTTAACTGTAATGTATGTTAACAGTAATGCGTGTATGATGTTAACTGTATTGGTATGTTAACTGTAATGGGTGTATGTTGTTAACTGTAATGGTGTATGTTGTTAACTGTAATGCATTAACTGAAATGGGTGTATGTTGTTAACGGTAATGTATGTTAACTCGTAATGGTAGTATGTTGTTAACTGTAATGTATGTATGTTAACTGTAATGGGTGTATGTTGTTAACTGTAATATATGTTAGCTGTAATGGGTGCATGTTGTTAACTGTAATGTATGTTAGCTGTAATGGGTGCATGTTGTTAATTGTAATGCATATATGTTAACTGTAATGGCGTCTGTTGTTAACTGTTATGGGTGTATGTTGTTAACTGTAATGTATGTTAACTGTAATGGGTGCATGTTGTTAACGGTAATGTATGTTAACTGTAATGGTAGTATGTTGTTTACTGTAAATGTATGTTAACTCGTAATGGGTGCATGTTGTTAACGGTAATGTATGTTAACTGTAATGGTAGTATGTTGTTAACTGTAATGTTTGTTAACCGTAATGGGTGTATTGTTGTTAATTGTAATGTATATGTTAACCGTAATGGTAGCATGTTGTTAACTGTAACATATATTAGCTGTAATGGGTGCATGTTGTTAACTGTAAATGTATGTTAGCTGTAATGGGTGCATGTTGTTAACCGTATTGCATGTTATCCGTAATGCGTATGTTGTTACTGACCGACTGACTGAGTTTGGTTTTACGCCGCTTTAGCAATATTCCAGCAATATCACGACGGGGACTCCAGAAAATGGCTTCACTCATTGTACCCATGTGGGCTCTTCGAACCCGGGTCTTCGGCGTAACGAGCCAACGCTTTAACCACTAGACTACCCCATCGCCCAGCATGTTGTTAACTGTAATGTATGTTAACTGTGATGGGTGTATGCTGTTAACTGTAACGGGTGTATAAGTTGTTAACTGTAATGTATGTTAGCTGTAATGTGTGTTGGTAACTGGTAATGCGTGCATGTTGTTTCAAGTTATATGTGTTTTGTCAGCTGTATGTTAACCGTAATGGGTGCATGCTGCTAACTGTAATGGGTGTATGTTGTTAACTGTAATGTATGTTAACAGTAATGGGTGTGTATGATGTTAACTGTACGTATGTTAACTCGTAATGGGTGCATTATAACCGTAATGGGTGTGCATGCCATTAACTGTAATGCATGTTAACTGTAATGGGTGCATGTTGTTAACTGTAATGGGTGCATGTTGTTAACTGTAATGGGTGCATGTTTGTTAACTGTAATGTATGTTAACTGTAATGGGTGCATGTTGTTAACTGTAATGTATGTTAACTGTAATGGGTGTATGCTGTTAACTGTAATGTTTTGTTAACCGTAATGGGTGTATGTTGTTAACTGTTACGGGTGTATGTTGTTAACTGTAATGTATGTTAACAGTAATGGGTGCATGATGTTAACTGTATTGTATGTTAACTGTAATGGGTGCATGTTGTTAACTGTAATGGTGCATGTTGTTAACTGTAATGTATGTTAACTGAAATGGGTGCATGTTGTTAACGGTAATGCATGTTAACTGTAATGGTTGTATGTTGTTAACTGTAATGTATGTTAACTGTAATGGGTGTATGTTGTTAACTGTAATGTATGTTAACTGTAATGGGTGTATGTTGTTAACTGTAATGTATGTTAACTGTAATGGGTGTATGTTGTTAACTGTAATATATGTTAGCTGTAATGGGTGTATGTTGTTACTGACTGACTGACTGAGTTTAGTTTTACGCCGCTTTTAGCAATATTCCAGCAATATCACGGCGGGGGACACAAGAAATGGGCTTCACTCATTGTACCCATGTGGGGATTCGAACCCGGGTCTTCGGCGTAACGAGTCAACGCTTTAACCACTAGACTACCCCATCGCCCCGTATGTTGTTAACTGTAATGTATGTTAACTGTGATGGGTGTATGTTGTTAACTGTAACGGGTGTATGTTGTTAACTGTAATGTATGTTAGCTGTAATGTGTGTTGGTAACTGGTACGTGTGTATGTTGTTTCAAGTTATATGTGTTTGTTGTCAGCTGTTATGATTTTATGTTGTATGTTGTTAACTGTAACGTGTGTATGTTACCTGTTTAATCCATGGGTAGTATCGGAGTAGTGTTAATAGCTGTAAAGTAAGGAACTGTAAAATAATCCAAATGCGACTTGTTCTCCTACATAAAGTGATCGATCCTCGCTTGCCTTCAGCGAATAGAATCGTTTTAATGGTATGTGCAGGAGCGCAGCGTGTCTCTGTTACTTCATGCTACAGAGGTGCCATAACTTATTTACTTCAAGTGTGAGCTAGTGTACAGTTGTTCGATAACCTGACGTAGAGGAACTGCCGTACTCCCACGTGCTTCAAGAAGTTATAAAACAGGACCTACAGTCTATGAGCACCAACTTGTGAGACTTTGCTTTGGTCCTTTAACCGACATGGGAGACAACGAAAGAGTTCCCTGAGGGTCACCGGTGAGATGCGAGTCCTGCACTGGATGGAGTACTTAAAGCTTAGCCTGTTGTTTCCTGTTTGGGTTTTGTCATAGACATTATCATGATAAACCAAATATTATGCAAACAGTTGTTATTTTCAGTAACATAACATTCACGCCAGTATAAATGGATGTTCAACGTCTCTTTAGGTGTACACTGAAAACTGAAATAAAACGAAAAGGGAGTCTTAAAAGTCAGCTTTCGAATCAGCTGACAACGGTCAAAGGTCACACTGAATAATGGTTGAGTGGTCTACGGGAGGTAACTCTATGTAATCTTATGCCCACACAACGTTATACCGCTACGATTCCCAAACATTATCTAGGTAAAACTAATCTACATCACACCACAAGACTAAGTTTGGCAATTTACGCATGCTCAGCAGATACAACCTCACACATGCAACAGTTTAATGCGACGCTTTTCCTTTCGTGGGGAATTCCCAGTGGCTATTTTTAGCTATGTATACGTCAGCGTTCATATTTCTCCAGACTGAGGACGGAAGAGTTACAGCAGGGAAATGGAGACAGCGCTATCCACGGCAGTGACAAGGAAAGCTAGCTACACTGTACAGAGAATTCGACAACACTTTACTACACTCAATTACGATCTCCTCCGTACTGCATAACTACAGTTTGTTCAGCCATGACTGTGTTGGCAAGTTTCCAGTCCGAAGGCCTTGTGTGTCTAATTTTAATGTCCGTGGCTATGGCAACGAAACTGTCGCTAACAAATGGAGGGTATGAAGACATTACGATCGCAATCAACAAACATGTTCCAAAGTCAGTGGAGATGGTTGAAAAACTCCAGGTAGGTTACCTTGACACTTGCGCTGTGTGTGCTGTACCTTTAAAATATATATCTGACTGTATTATTGTGAAGACTCATATATTCCAAAATAGCGAAACTTATATCACACTCTGAGGTGCCTTAATGCCCCGGGTAGAGTTCGTCCTTTCTGTTCTCTAGAAAGCTATGTGTGTGGGTTCGAATCCTAGTTTTCTCCAAGCTGTATCCGTGTATACAATCTTCGCAGGTCATTTAAGCTAGAGAGCCTTGCGTAACATAATATGCAGTCACTGCTGAGCTACCGTGAAGTTATAAGCCATCACGGGACGTGTGCTGTCATGCGTGCACTGAACGGTTGAAGGGAACTCAACAGCAAGACCCTGATTACGTTACACGGGTTGGATATCCTTCTCGTGAGGTGAGCTGAAATTGGGTTTAACGTCGTGCTTGAGAATATTTCGCTCATATGACGACGTGCATGCGTGTGTATGTGTATGTGGGGCTGCTTCTACTAGCCCAGACTGAAGCTGGTTTTATAGTGCCAGCCCACTGAGATATCATGCCGCAGTGAAGCATGAATACCCCACTCAGAAACATTATACTGACTCCGAGCCGACCAGTCTTTGTTGTACCCATTAATGCCGAGTGCCAGGTAGGGACCAACAAGTACCATATTTTAACGTCTTTTGGTACATGACGCGGTCGGGGATCGAACCCGCGACCTTCCGCTCTCCGGGCAGACGCTCTAACCATCACACCACGGAGGCGGTCTCTTTCTCGTAAGTCGCTATGGCGAGTTCACCGTACCCTGAGGATATCCGAGGACAACATTGACCTATAATATGAACCTCAAAGGAGTAGGTAATTTCCTCAGGGGCTGTTTGATGGGAAGGCCATAACATTGGCACCGTTACGAACATTTACCTGCCATTGACATGTGCTAACAAAGAAACTACATTTCACCTTATCGGAAATAATTCACGTGGCACCTTCACACCATTATTATGTACATGTACCTTACGAATCAGATATCTCACGTGACATGTACCTTACACATCATATATCTCACGTGACATGTACCTTACACATCAGATATCTCACGTGACATGTACCTTACACATCATATATCTCACGTGACATGTACCTTTCACATCAGATATATCACGTGACATGTATCTTACACATCAGATATCTCACGTGACATGTACCTTAAACATCATATATCTCACGTGACATGTACCTTACACATCAAATATCTCACGTGACATGTACCTTAAACATCATATATCTCACGTGACATGTACCTTACACATCATATATCTCACGTGACATGTACCTTACACATCATATATCTCACGTGACATGTACCTTAAACATCATATATCTCCCGTGACATGTACCTTTCAAATCAGATATCTCACGTGACATGTACCTTACACATCATATATCTCACGTGACATGTACCTTACACATCAGATATCTCAAGTGACATGTACCTTACACATCAGATATCTCACGTGACATGTATCTTTCACATCAGATATCTCACGTGACATGTACCTTACACATCAGATATCTCACGTGACATGTACCTTACACATCAGATATCTCACGTGACATGTACCTTACACATCAGATATCTCACGTGACATGTATCTTACACTTATACTTACGTGAAATATCGCACGTGACATGTATCTCACGTGCCGTGTACACATCATATATCTCACGTGACATGTACCTTTCACATCAGACATCTCACATAACATTTACCTTCATCACATCAACAATCTCACATAAAATGTACCTTATCACACATCCATATATCTCACGTGACATGTATCTTACATCATCAGATATCTCACGTGACATGTACCTTACACATCAGATATCTTACGTGACATGTACCTTACACATCAGATATCTGACGTGACATGTACCTTTCATTACATTAGATATGTCACGTGACATGTGCCTTACACATCAGATATCTCTCGTGGCATGCAATTTACACATGAAATATCGCACGTGACATGTACCTTACACATCATATATCTCACGTGACATGTACCTTACACATCATATATCTCACGTGACATGTATCTTACACATCAGATATCTCACGTGACATGTACCTTACACATCAGATATCTCACGTGACATGTACCTTACACATCAGATATCTCACGTGACATGTACCTTTCACATGAGATATTTCACATAACATTTACCTTGCACACATCAACTATCTCACATAAACATCATATACCTTACTTACGCATCATATATCTCACGTGACATGTATCTTACACATCAGATATCTCACGTGACATGTACCTTACATCACATCAGATATCTTACGTGACATGTACCTTACACATCAGATATCTCACGTGACATGTACCTTTCACATTAGATATCTCACATAACATTTACCTTGCACATCAACTATCTCTCACATAAAATGTACCTTACACATCATATATCTCACGTGACATGTATCTTACACATCAGATATCTCACGTGACATGTACCTTACACATCAGATATCTCACGTGACATGTATCTTACACATCAGATATCTCACGTGACATGTACCTTACACATCAGATATCTCACGTGACATGTATCTTACACATCAGATATCTCACGTGACATGTACCTTACAAATCTGATATCTCACGTGACATGTACCTTACACATCAGATATCTCACGTGACATTTACCTTTCACATCAGATATCTCACGTGACATGTACCTTACACATAAAATATCTCACATGAATTGTAAATGAGATATCTCACATGACATGCACCTTGCACACCTGCTATCTCACTAGGCTAACTAGTGTCCGATATTGACATATTGAAGGTTACGTGTGCACGGGGTGTCAACAGTTTAAGACTATATTTTCAGACCCTCCTACAGGATGCCTCGGAGAGTCTGTACTCTGCTACAGGTCTGTACATGCGCACTGCTACCATCCTGGTGCCCAGCAGTTGGCAGATGGGGGACAGGAATGACAAACTGACGTTCTCTGAGGCGGACATGAGGGTAGACCGACCCCACCCCTACTACAGAGACCAGCCCTACACCCAGCCCACCTGGACGTGTGGGGCCATGCAACGCTGCGTGCACCTCACCCCGGGCTTTGTCCTCGGAAAGACTGACTGCACAAAGCATAAACAACGTGGTAAGTCCCGCTTCCAGGTAGTCTCGTAGTAGTAAACGTTGACGTTACCTGATGGTTAGCGTTGCTCCAAGGCTGTACTGAATGCTGAGCCCATGGATGTACAGTGAGTCTATCCTTCAAAGAGGCAAGTCTAGATAAGCGGACAGTCTAATTATTAATATTAATTTTAGAATTATCATTTAAACTATTAAATATTACGGTAGAGACTTGTGCAAGTCTAAAGCCTCATTAGTAAGTATAGAGTAATTACGCTTATAAGAAAGTGCGTTTAGGGGGTTGTCAGCAATTTCGTATATAAAATTATGTTTAAAATCATGCTTAGAAATTATGGGGAGGGGGTCATTGATTTTGTACATGACATGCAGGGGGGTCACTTATTTTGTAGATAAATTTTAGGGGGGATCATTCACATTGTACATGCTTCTCCATAAAAATCATCACTCACACACACACACACACACACACACACACACACACACACTAACCAGCCATAAATTATGAACGGTCCCTTATACCGAACACGCATGCATTGTAACAAACCACGTTTATAAGGATCACGTTTATAACGACCATTAATACAGATGTTATAGTGACTAATTCAGGACAGTCATCGTCCAAATATTTAAAAAGTAAAAAACCTATGTAAGAGATGTGAGAGTTTATTGTAATTATTTATATGACGCTAATCTGTATTCTATGTAATCCTTATCACTTCCGCATTGTACACTGACTTGTCAGGCAATTATATTAATTACTGTATATGACATTTAAAACCCTTATTGGCCATTGCCCTTGGCCGTGTCTGCCATCACATCAACTGGTCAAGGAAGTGCTATTGTTTTTCTGTCTGTCCATTGATGAGTCGTCGCCTGTCCATTGTTGTCAAAAACTGTATATATACTTAGTATGCTCACATCTAGACTGAGAAGGAAAACAGAACGCGTCCGGTATTCCGACTGTCTGTGAAGGGACGCCCGCGAGCAGGATAATGCCGCTCGTGGGAAACGTCCAGGGTGCCGTTCCACTAACCGATCTTAGCCCTACGCCAATCGTAAACCCCTAAAATCCAAATCTTAGCGTGACGTTACGATCGGCATACCGTTCCACTAACCAGTCTTACCTAAGTCAATCGTAAAGTTAAGATTCAAAGTCTAAGTTGCTCATGACCAACTTAGGATAGCTAAAATCAATCGTAGAGAAACCAAAATGGTGGCTTTCCTATTCTATGTGAAAAATAAGAGCGAGCATTTCACCGCGAGCGTCCCCTAAAATCCCCCATGAAATGAATTTGTATATTTCTGTGATGTAAACAAACACTGCACTGAAACCTTACAAATGTCAGGCCAGTCTGACCACTGTCGTCATGGGAACACAGCCGAGCGAGTCGGTGTAACACATTTGTACAACAATATTGCAAAGTCATGGTTAAGAATAGGGACAGCCGTGAAGTGAACAATGTTCTGAAACAAAAAGATACAAATATATTTGATTTCACGTGCGCTTATTTGGTGGGGGATTCTAAAGGCAGGCCGCGTGTTATTCAAGACCACTGACAAATTTTACATTCTGCCTCCTCACGCCTTGTTTATTCTGATTGACAAGGTTCAGGCACATATTAAAAGCTCTGACACCATTGACGTTTTTAAAGTCCAGACTTAAAACCTGTTCTCAGTATATTACTTATAATCTCGGCTGTAAATACTCTCGTGTAAATTATCTGTACATGGCGCTTTGAGCATGCCCCAGGATGTGGAATAGGCGCACTATAAATATGCATTTATTATTATTATATTATGCCTGATACCCAGCGTTCACACGCACATGCACCTGAAACCAAGGTGCTCACTACCCTAATATTTTGCTCTAGTTTTTTTCTCCACGTTTACACTTGGTTGGAAAAATACCCATGAAGGCCCGGGTTAGAATATTGAACTTCAATAACCCATGCTTGTCGTAAGAGGCCACTAACGGGATCGGGTGGTCAGGCTCGCTGACTTGGTTGACGCATGTCATTGGTTCCCAACTGCGCATATTGATGCTCATGCTGTTGATCACTGGATTGTCTGGTCCAGACTCGATTATTTATAGCTAAGATACATAGCGTTCACTAACATGTTAGTGAACGCTATGCATCTTAGCTAGATTATTTACAGACCGCCGCCATATAGCTGGACTATTGCTGAGTGCGGCGTAAATCTAAACTCACTCACTCACTCAGTTGGTTCGTAAACTACTTCCATCATTTGCTAGACTATGCAAAGGGAGATAACTCGTGCCTCGCACGAAAGAGTCTCAATCTAAGCTTGAATCGGATCGTAAGATCGGGAACGGCTACGATCGGCCTAAGATCGGGTAGTGGAACGGGTGTAACTTTTAGCTAAGACGATTGTAAAATTGACGTAACCTGCTAAGATTGATCTTAGGTAAGATCGGTTAGTGGAACGGCACCCAGGGCCCCGTTCCTCAAAGCGATCGTAGCGCTAAGGTGATCGTAACTCCCATACTTTAACATAGACTTACGACTGTCGTAGCGCTACGATCGCTTTGAGGAACGGGGCCCTGGGGTTGAGCAGGTACTCCGCTCACCACATTTATGTCTTGTGTATTTGTTTGTCATGTAACTAAAGAAGTTTGAGCTCAACGTATTCCTTCGTCTTCATCAACGCACACTTCGTCTTAATTCCGAGCTAATTCCCCAGTCGACGCATACACCACGCGTTGACACAGATATGCCAAGCTATTTTCCCCGACCACATGACTGTATATTTTAGTCGCTATGTGTATAACGAACTACGGTTATAACGAATTTAAATTAGTGGTAACTAGTTCGTCATGACCGCAGTGAACTCTATATATGTGAGACTCACTCGGACGAGGCAGCTATTTTGTATGTAGGTCTGCGGAAGTCGTGTTCAGAAGAGGAACACCATCTGCTTCTCTGTTCAGGAACATGTAATCCGCAACACATAAACAATAAACCAGTAAGTACTCAAAGGCCGGAATACCTGCTGAAGTGTTAAACAACAGACAAACGAAAAAACAAACAATCAGCATTTAATGTAACGTTGGGTAACAATTGGTTGATTGACAAGGAAACACCTCGTTAAAACGGAACATAGATGACCAGAACCAAAATACCGAAACAAGAAGATCAAACGTATGGAAATATTTTAATGAAAATGGTTAGTGTTTCCTGTGACAAGGTTCGTCAACCATCACTCGTCTACTCAAAAGGATAATCTGCGTCACAGGACATTATATTTCAGGATGACTTAAGAGAAATCTATACAGATGGTCAAATGGTGTTAAACAATGAATGAAGCTGTCAGTACATAAATAGATTACAGAAGGGATTATCTGTTTCGTAATACAGTGGAAGCCTGCTTATCCGGACCTCAAATATCTGGAAACCTTGCCTATCCTGGACGACATTCCCGTGAAACAAAATATAATACTTCCAAAAATGCATATTTATCCGAAAATCCGGATCCGCTGAATTTCAATTCCCAACAGTGCAACATACATACTATTATGTCTCTCTAGCAACGATATTGATTTTCATAAACAAAAATGTTTTTGACCATTACGACATATATTACAACGTGTTGCGTACAAAGAAACGTTTCCTCTTCTTTGGTAGGCATCCTCCTTGCAAACCAGTTTGCTCGATATCGCTGGGGGGTGTTCGACGATGTTATATCAGATGAAACGGTAAGTTATAAAAAGCGTTTTTTCCTAAATATATTATATTCCGCGGATTGGTTATTGTCTTGGTATATTTAACCCGTGAAGATCCGGGTTAGAATTTGATCTTCAGTAACCCATGCTTGTCGTAAGAGGTGACTAACGCGATCGGGTGGTCAGGCTCGTTGACTTAGTTGACACATGTCCTCGGTTCCCAATTGCGTAGATCGATGCTCATGTTGTTGATCACTGGTTTGTCTGGTACAGACTCGATTATTTACAGACCGCCGCCATACCTGGAATATTGCTGAGTGCGGCGTCAAACTAAACTCACTTGTTTTATTTGTGAAACACATCCTTCAGTTTTCATAGTTAGTTTAACAATACAGAGTACGTGAGTGAGTTAGTGAGTACATTTATCTATATTCCAGTAACATCACAGAGGAGGACACAAGAACTGCGCTTCATACGTGCTCTCACGCTGAGAATCAAATGTATAGATACACATATATGAACAATCACTGGCATCGAGTGTCTCTAAATGTACAAGTGTACGTGTTACTTCAATCAGATATTGGTGCTAAGTGTGACTGTATTATTTCACTGTTTCACAGATTTCAAAGAGAATGTCCAGAAATCATGAGAAAGCTTGTAAGGGGAAAACTGTGGCGGACATCATAAAAAGTCACGACGACCACAGTCAGAAAGGTCAGACGCCAACTGAGGCAGTCACAGTCACAGTCACTGTTGTGTACAACGACAACGACCAGGACAAGAACCCGGAAGAGAAGCAGTGTGGACGTCGCGTTGTATTACTGCTTGATGACTCCTTTTCTATGAACGATGTAAGTGGGTGTGGTGAGCTGTGTAAGTTAACTATGAGCGAGGTAAGTGGGCGTGGTGAGCTGTGTAGGTTATCTATGAGCGAGGTAAGTGGGCGTGGTGAGCTGTGTAAGTTAACTATGAGCGAGGTAAGTGGGCGTGGTGAGCTGTGACTGATGTAAGTGGGTGTGTTGTGAGTTGTGGATGTTATCTATGACTGATGTAAGTGGGTGTGTTGCGAGTTGTGGATGTTATCTATGACTGATGTAAGTGGATGTGTTGCGAGTTGTGGATGTTATCTATGACTGATGTTAGTGGGTGTGTTGTGAGTTGTGGATGTTATCTATGACTGATGTAAGTGGGTGTGTTGCGAGTTGTGGATGTTATCTATGACTGATGTAAGTGGGTGTGTTGCGAGTTGTGGATGTTATCTATGACTGATGTAAGTGGATGTGTTGCGAGTTGTGGATGTTATCTATGACTGATGTAAGTGGATGTGTTGTGAGTTGTGGATGTTATCTATGACTGATGTAAGTGGGTGTGTTGCGAGTTGTGGATGTTATCTAAGACTGATGTAAGTGGGTGTGTTTGTGAGTTGTGGATGTTATCTATTACTGATGTAAGTGGGTGTGCGTTGCGAGTTGTGGATGTTATCTATGACTGATGTAAGTGGGTGTGTTGTGAGTTGTGGATGTTATCTATGACTGATGTAAGTGGGTGTGTTGCGAGTTGTGGATGTTATCTATGACTGATGTAAGTGGGTGTGTTGCGAGTTGTGGATGTTATCTATGACTGATGTAAGTGGGTGTGTTGCGAGTTGTGGATGTTATCTATGACTGATGTAAGTGGGTGTGTTGCGAGTTGTGGATGTTATCTATGACTGATGTAAGTGGGTGTGTTGCGAGTTGTGGATGTTATCTATGACTGATGTAAGTGGGTGTGTTGTGAGTTGTGGATGTTATCTATGACTGATGTAAGTGGGTGTGTTGCGAGTTGTGGATGTTATCTATGACTGATGTAAGTGGGTGTGTTGCGAGTTGTGGATGTTATCTATGACTGATGTAAGTGGGTGTGTTGTGAGTTGTGGATGTTATCTATGACTGATGTAAGTGGGTGTGTTGTGAGTTGTGGATGTTATCTATGACTGATGTAAGTGGGTGTGTTTGCGAGTTGTGCATGTTATCTATGACTGATGTAAGTGGGTGTGTTGTGAGTTGTGGATGTTATCTATGACTGATGTAAGTGGGTGTGTTGTGAGTGCTGGATGTTATCTATGACTGATGTAAGTGGGTGTGTTGCGAGTTGTGGATGTTATCTATGACTGATGTAAGTGGGTGTGTTGCGAGTTGTGGATGTTATCTATGACTGATGTAAGGGTGTGTTTGCGAGTTGTGGATGTTATCTATGACTGATGTAAGTGGGTGTGTTGTGAGTTGTGGATGTTATCTATGACTGATGTAAGTGGGTGTGTTGCGAGTTGTGGATGTTATCTATGACTGATGTAAGTGGGTGTGTTGTGGATGTTATCTATGACTGATGTAAGTGGGTGTGTTGCGAGTTGTGGATGTTATCTATGACTGATGTAAGTGGGTGTGTTGCGAGTTGTGGATGTTATCTATGACTGATGTAAGTGGGTGTGTTGCGAGTTGTGGATGTTATCTATGACTGATGTAAGTGGGTGTGTTGTGAGTTGTGGATGTTATCTATGACTGATGTAAGTGGGTGTGTTGCGAGTTGTGGATGTTATCTATGACTGATGTAAGTGGGTGTGTTGCGAGTTGTGGATGTTATCTATGACTGATGTAAGTGGATGTGTTATGAGTTGTGGATGTTATCTATGACTGATGTTAATGGGTGTGTTGTGAGTTGTGGATGTTATCTATGACTGATGTAAGTGGGTGTGTTGCGAGTTGTGGATGTTATCTATGACTGATGTAAGTGGGTGTGTTACTGAGTTGTGGATGTTATCTATGACTGATGTGGAGTGGATGTGTTGGGCGAGTTGTGGATGTTATCTATGACTGATGTAAGTGGATGTGTTGTGAGTTGTGGATGTTATCTATGACTGATGTAAGTGGGTGTGTTAAGAGTTGTGGATGTTATCTAAGACTGATGTAAGTGGGTGTGTTGTGAGTTGTGGATGTTATCTATTACTGATGTAAGGGTGGCGTTGCGAGTTGTGGATGTTATCTATGACTGATGTAAAGTGGGTGTGTTGCGAGCTGTGGATGTTATCTATGACTGATGTAAGTGGGTGTGTTGAGCTGTGGATGTTATCTATGACTGATGTAAAGTGGGTGTGTTGCGAGCTGTGGATGTTATCTATGACTGATGTAAAGTGGGTGTGTTGCGAGCTGTGGATGTTATCTATGACTGATGTAAGTGGGTGTGTTGTGAGTTGTGGATGTTATCTATGACTGATGTAAGTGGGTGTGTTGCGAGTTGTGGATGTTATCTATGACTGATGTAAGTGGGTGTGTTGCGTGAGTTGTGGATGTTATCTATGACTGATGTAAGTGGGTGTGTTGTGAGTTGTGGATGTTATCTATGACTGATGTAAGTGGGTGTGTTGTGAGTTGTGGATGTTATTCTATGACTGATGTAAGTGGGTGTGTTGCGAGTTGTGCATGTTATCTATGACTGATGTAAGTGGGTGTGTTGTGAGTTGTGGATGTTATCTATGACTGATGTAAGTGGGTGTGTTGTGGATGTTATCTATGACTGATGTAAGTGGGTGTGTTGCGAGTTGTGGATGTTATCTATGACTGATGTAAGTGGGTGTGTTGCGAGTTGTGGATGTTATCTATGACTGATGTAAGGGTGTGTTGCGAGTTGTGGATGTTATCTATGACTGATGTAAGTGGGTGTGTTGTGAGTTGTGGATGTTATCTATGACTGATGTATAGTGGGTGTGTTGCGAGTTTGTGGATGTTATCTATGACTGATGTAAGTGGGTGTGTTGTGGATGTTATCTATGACTGATGTAAGTGGGTGTGTTGCGAGTTGTGGATGTTATCTATGACTGATGTAAGTGGGTGTGTTGCGAGTTGTGGATGTTATCTATGACTGATGTAAGTGGGTGTGTTGCGAGAGTTGTGGATGTTATCTATGACTGATGTAAGTGGGTGTGTTGTGAGTTGTGGATGTTATCTATGACTGATGTAAAGTGGGTGTGTTATGAGAGTTGTGGATGTTATCTATGACTGATGTAAGTGGGTGTGTTGTGAGTTGTGGATGTTATCTATGACTGATGTAAGTGGAGTGGGTGTGTTGCGAGTTGTGGATGTTATCTATGACTGATGTAGGTGGGTGTGTTGTGGATGTTATCTATGACTGATGTAAGTGTGTGTGGTGAGTTGTGGATGTTATCTATGACTGATGTGTGGGTGTGTTGCGAGTTGTGGATGTTATCTATGACTGATGTAAGTGGGTGTGTTGTGGATGTTATCTATGACTGATGTAAGTGGGTGTGTTGCGAGTTGTGGATGTTATCTATGACTGATGTAAGTGGGTGTGTGTTGTGGATGTTATCTATGACTGATGTAAGTGGGTGTGTAGTGGATGTTATCTATGACTGATGTAAGTGGGTGTGTTGTGAGTTGTGGATGTTATCTATGACTGATGTAAGTGGGTGTGTTGCGAGTTGTGGATGTTATCTATGACTGATGTAAGTGGGGTGTGTTGTGAGTTGTGGATGTTATCTATGACTGATGTAAGTGGGTGTGTTGCGAGTTGTGGATGTTATCTATGACTGATGTAAGTGGGTGTGTTGTGGATGTTATCTATGACTGATGTAAGTGGGTGTGTTGCGAGTTGTGGATGTTATCTATGACTGATGTAAGTGGGTGTGTTGTGAGTTGTGGATGTTATCTATGACTGATGTAAGTGGGTGTGTTGCGAGTTGTGGATGTTATCTATGACTGATGTAAGTGGGTGTGTTGCGAGTTGTGGATGTTATCTATGACTGATGTAAGTGGGTGTGTTGTGAGTTGTGGATGTTATCTATGACTGATGTAAGTGGGTGTGTTGCGAGTTGTGGATGTTATCTATGACTGATGTAAGTGGGTGTGTTGTGGATGTTATCTATGACTGATGTAAGTGGGTGTGTTGCGAGTTGTGGATGTTATCTATGACTGATGTAAGTGGGTGTGTTGCGAGTTGTGGATGTTATCTATGACTGATGTAAGTGGACATGGTGAATTGTACATGTTCTTTATAATGTATATACTTTCTGGAGTCGTCTTTTTTCAGGATTCTCGTGTATTCAGGCAGAAGCAAGTGGCTAGAAATTTTATAAAGGACGTGCTTCCCACCAACTCAGAGATTGGAATAATAACATTTCATGAGTATAGCGTCATGCTAGTAGGGAGTCTTACCAAGCTCACCAGTGATGAAGATGAAGGACGACTAGTCGACTTGGTAACGCAGGATCGTCAACTAGGAGCAGCCACGGGAATAGGACAGGCCTTGAAAGATGCACTTGCAGTAGGTCGACGTTCATAACATTGTTATGTATTGTGTAATGCAGTCTGTAGGAAGAAGCCGTATCTAGTGGACAGGCATTGTTGATGTCACTGTAGATTATATGTATGCATTTATAGCGTCACGATTTAGATGTAGAGACAAGGCTATCCTTCGTGAAAGGTCGTTGTAAACTGAGGCAAATACCAACAGCATTAGGACAGACACGAAACAAGTAATCGTTTTGTTCGTTAACGCTCTTCCAACTGTAATTCGGTTGACTTGATTTTACAAGAACAGGACCGTCATGAACCGCAGGGAACTGGACAATCGGTGCCCAAACCTTTTTTTGAGCTGCGGGTTCCCCAAATTTTAGTACGGGTTAGTCACATAAAGTACAAATTCATCAAAAGACGAGATATTTAGCTACGGGTACGGGTTAGGTTTTGAACGAATCTCCGTGGGCATGGATCGTCTTGTCTTTCAACCTAAGAGAGACTAAAGGTACGTCGTTGTCTGGTTCCAGCTGCTGAAAGGTGCTGGTCGTGAAGGAACCAGTGAGGAGGACAGAATACTCTTGATTACCGACGGCGAGGAGAACCCACAAGGAGGCCCGACAATCGCTGATGTCATTGAGGACATCACTGAGTCAAGAGTGATGGTCCATTCAATAGCATTGGGGCGTGATGCTTCCAAGTCTCTGGGAGAGCTCTGTCAGGCTACAGGTAGAGCATCACAATCTGCAGGAAGTTGGGGCGTATGTTGAGTGAGTGAGTGAGTTTGGTTTTACGCCGCTTTTAGCAATATTCCATCAATATCACGACGGGGGACACCAGAAATGTGGGGCGTATGTTGAGACACATCACTAGTTAAATCCTAATAGCAGGTTTATCATGACAACCAGGGTGACTTTTATTATACTTCGTTTCAAAAGTTTCAGGCAACTGTTCTAAACTAATTTTTGCCAAATATTGCATACTGTTTAAAGGTACTGTTTACACATGGACTGATAGATTGTAAAACAAATTCGTCACGTTGAAAAGATGATTGTCATGAGTTCAATAAATGATTAAAATCAGTGAAAATTGGCGAATTCTTAACAAAACTTTACTCCTGAACGAAGCTGTTCACATGCACGATATATGCACATGCTTTCCAGCAATTTGATGCATGATCCTCGTGCAATACATCTGCATAAGGTTTGCAGTTGGTTTCACCAAGTTACCGGTAGTGGAGAAATCAATATTCGATGTAACCATATATATATACAAAACATATAGTGAGTGTTTTAAGTGAGTCTAAAGGAAGTATATATACTGACCACGGTGCATGGATGTATGTGGACCACAATCAGTAAATGGCGGTAAATGGCGGTAAATTGTTCCAATTCGAATATAAAACCCTGATATCTTATATTTTACAAAATTAAGAGCATTAAGAAAATTAAAGTTTGAACAATATCACAATTATATTTCCAGCTGCCCTGACTAAGACACCGAGAACAGCTGCACTCTTGTCAGTAACACATCTAATAACTCTTCTACATCAGGTCTTTCTAATACCTCTAATGCTGTCACCGGCTTCTGAATGACGCAACTGCCATCAAGTTTGCTGCGACTGCTATTTTTACAGCCACATTGATCACTATAAATTTCTACCATTTTGATGCTGCTACTTCAGAACATTGCGGGTGCCAAACAACTATACTTTCGTCTACCTTTTCTATCATGGTGCTACTGTCACACCCACCACCGCCGTCTCTACTACTACTACTACTACTACTACTGTTCATACTACTACTTCTACTACTACTGATTCTACTACAACAACTACTATTATTGCTACTGGTACCACTACTACTGTTACTACTACTACTACTGGTACCACTACTACTACTGCTACTGCTACTACTACTGCTACTACTACTACTACTACTACTACTACTACTACTACTACTACTACTACTACTAGTACTACTTGATATATAACTCCTCCTCTCCCAACAGCTGTTTCTGCTGTTGACGCGGCCTAAATATCCTACTGTAGGTCTTCATGGAGAAGTAATCCTACTGTAACTACAACTGTAACTGCTGTTTAAACTAATAACTACCGCAACCCTCTGCTGTACCAGCTGCTGCAACTACCTCTACCACAACGAATCTGGTCTTACTACACCCATATTTCTACTGCACTGCTGCCGCTACTATACAACCAATGGTACTACCTGTACAACCACTGTACTGCCTGCCCTGTACCGAATGTATGGCTAAATATGTTCAGGTGTGAGTGTATGGTTAAATGTGGTGATGTTTCAGGTGGAAGTGTATGGCTAAAATATAGCGATGTTTTCAGGTTGAGCGTATGGCTAAATATAGCGATGTTTCAGGTGAAGTGTATGGGCTAAATATAGCGATGTTTCAGGTGAAGTGTATGGCTAAATATAGCGATGTTTCAGATTGAGCGTACGGGCTAAAATACAGCTAAATATATGTTTCAGGTGCAGTGTATGGCTAAATGTGGGTGATGTTTCAGGCTGAGCGGATGGCTAAATATAACGATGTTTCAGATGGAGAGTATGGCTAAACACATAACGATGTTTCAGGTGGAGCGTATGGTTAAATGTGGTGATAGGCTAAATATAGCTTCAGGTTGAGCGGATGGCTAAATATAAGCGATGTTTCAGGTTGAGCGTATGGCTAAAATGTGGTGATGTTTCAGGTTAAGCGGATGGCTAAATATAGCGATGTTTCAGGTGGAGTGTTTGACTAAAACATAACGATGTTTCAGGTGGAGCGGATGGTTAAAATGTGGCGATGTTTCAGGTGGAGTGTATGGTTGAATGTGGTCATATTTCAGGTGGACTGTATGGCTAAATATAGGATGTTTCAGGTGGAGGTATGGCTAAATGTGGTCATGTTTCAGGTGGACTGTATGGCTAAATATAGGGATGTTTCAGGTTGAGCGTATGGCTAAATATAGCGATGTTTCAGGTGGAGTGTATGGCTAAATGTGATGTTTCAGGTTGAGCGTATGGCTAAATATAGCGATGTTTCAGGTGGAGTGTATGGCTAAACATAACGATGTTTCAGGTGGAGTTTATGGATAAATGTGGTGATGTTTCAGGTGGAGTGTATGGCTAAATGTGGTGATGTTTCAGGTGGAGTGTATGACTAAATGTGGTGATGTTTCAGGTGGAGCGTATGGTTAAATGTGATGTTTCAGGTGGAGTGTATGGCTAAATGTGGTGATGTTTCAGGCGGAGAGTATGACTAAATGTGGTGATGTTTCAGGTGGAGCGTATGGCTAAACATAACGATGTTTCAGGTGGAGTTTATGGATGTGCAAAGCGGTGATGTTTCAGCGGTGGAGTGTATGGCTAAATGTGATGATGTTTCCAGGTGGAGTGTATGGCTAAATGTGGTGATGTTTCAGGTGGGGTGTATGGCTACATGTGGTGATATTTCTGGCATGGTGGAGCCGTGATGGCTTAAATATGCTGATGTTTCGGGTGGAGCCGTATGGCTAAATGTGGTGATGTTTCAGGTGGAGTGTATGCCGCTAAATGTGGTGATGTTTCTGGTGGAGCGCAGGTATGGTTAAATCGTGATGTTTTCCAGTGTGGAGTCGTATGGTTAAATCGTGGTGATGTTTCAGGTGGAGTGTATGGTTGAATGTGGTCATATTTCAGGTGGACTGTATGGCTAAATATAGCGATGTTTCAGGGTGGAGTGTATGTATTAAATCGTGGATAAGCTCTGGTGGTTGAGCCGACGGCTAAATACAGCGATGTTTCAGGTGCAGTGTATGGCTAAATCGTGGTGATGTTTCAGGTTGAGCCGGATGGCTAAATATAACGATGTTTCAGATGGAAGTATGGCTAAACATAACGATGTTTCAGGTGGAGCGTATGGTTAAATGTGGTGATGTTTCAGGTTGAGCCGGATGGCTAAATATAGCGATGTTTCTCAGGTTGAGCCGTATGGCTAAATGTGGTGATGTTTCGTGGTTGAGCCGGATGGCTAAATATAAATGATGTTTCAGGTAGAGAGTTTGGCTAAAACATAACGATGTTTCAGGTGGAGCCGATGGTTAAACATAACGGTGATGTTTCCAGATGCGGAGACGTATGGTTGAATGTAATGGTCATATTTCCAAGGTGGACTGTATATGTGTATAAATATATAGGGATGTTTCAGGTGGAGTGTATGTGGCTAAATGTGGGATATGTTTCAGGTTGAGCCGGATGGCTAAATATAGCCGATGTGTCAGGTGGAGTGTATGGCTAAACATATGGCGATGTTTCCAGGTGGAGGTGTATGGCTAAATGTGATGTTTCAGGTTGAGCGGATGGCTAAATATAAGCGATGCCGTTTCAGGTGGAGTGTATGGCTAAACATAACGATGTTTCAGGTGGGATTTATGGATAAATGTGGTGATGTTTCCAGGTGGAGTGTATGGCTAAATGTGGTGATGTTTCAGGTGGAGGTATGACTAAAATGTGGTGATGCTAAGTGTGGGGTGTATGGTTAAATGTGATGTTTCAGGTGGAGAGTATGGCTAAAATGTGGTGATGTTTCAGGTGGAGTGTATGACTAAATGTGGTGATGTTTCAGGTGGAACGTATGGCTAAACATAACGATGTTTCAGGTGGAGCGTTATGGATAAAGGTGGTGATGTTTCAGGTGGGTGTATGGCTAAATGTGGTGATGTTTCAGGTGGGTGTATGGCTTAAAATGTGGTGATGTTTCCAGGTGGGTGTATGGCTACATGTGGTGATGTTTCAGGTGGAGTGTATGGTTAAATATGCTGATGTTTCAGGTGGAGCGTATGGCTAAGTGTGGTGATGTTTCAGGTGGAGCGTGTCGCGAAATGTGGTGATGTTTCTGGTGGAGCCTATGGTTAAATGTGGTGATGTTTCAGGTGGAGCGTATGGCTAAACATAACGATGTTTCAGGTGGAGTTTATGGATAAAGGTGGTGATGTTTCAGGTGGAGCGTATGGCTACATGTGGTGATGTTTCAGGTGGAGTGTATGGTTAAATGTGGTGATGTTTCAGGTGGAGTGTATGGCTAAATGTGGGGATGTTTCAGGTGGATTGTATTGTGAAAGTCGGTGATGTTTCAGGTGGAGTGTATGGCTAAATGTGGTGATGTTCCAGATGGAGTGTATGGTTAAATATGCTGATGTTTCAGGTGGAGCGTGTCGCTAAATGTGGTGATGTTTCAGGTGGAGCGTATGGCTAAATGTGGTGGTCTTTCAGGTCGAGTGTATGGCTAAATGTCGTGATGTTTCAGGTGGAGAGTATGGTAAAAGGTGGTGATGTTTCAGGTGGAGCGTATGGCTTAATGTGGTGATGTTTCAGGTGGAGTGTATGGCTAAATGTGATGATTTTTCAGGTGGAGTGTATGACTAAACATAACCATGTTTCAGGTGGGGTTTATGGCTAAATGTAGCGATGTTTCAGGCGGAGTGTATGGCTAAACATAACGATGTTTCAGGTGGAGTTTATGGCTAAACTTAACGGTGTTTCAGGTGGAGTGTATGGCTAAACATAACGATGTTTCAGGTGGAGTTTATGGATAAAGGTGGTGATGTTTCAGGTGGAGTGTATGGCTAAATGTGGTGATGTTTCAGGTGGAGTGTATGGCTAAATGTGGTGATGTTTCAGGTGGAGTGTATGGCTAAATGTGGTGATGTTCCAGATGGAGTGTAAGGTTAAATATGCTGATGTTTCAGGTGGAGCGTGTCGCTAAATGTGGTGATGTTTAAGGTGGAGCGTATGGTTAAATATGCTGATGTTTCAGGTGGAGCGTGTCGCTAAATGTCGCGATGTTTCAGGCGGAGTGTATGGCTAAACATAACGATGTTTCAGGTGGAGTTTATGGCTAAACTTAACGATGTTTCAGGTGGAGTTTATGGCTAAACTTAACGATGTTTCAGGTGGAGTTTATGGCTAAAGGTGGTGATGTTTCAGGTGGAGTGTATGGCTAAATGTGATGATTTTTCAGGTGGAGTGTATTACTAAACATAACCATGTTTCCGTAGGTGGGGTTTATGGCTAAATGTAGTTGTTTCAGGCGGAGTGTATGGCTAAACATAACGATGTTTCAGGTGGAGTTTATGGCTAAACTTAACGGTGTTTCAGGTGGAGTGTATGGCTAAACATAACGATGTTTCAGGTGGACTGTATGGCTAAACATAACGATGTTTCAGGTGGAGCGTATGGCTAAAACATAACGATGTTTCAGGTGGAGTTTATGGCTAAACATAACGTGGTCTTTCAGGTGGAGTTTATGGCTAAAACATAACGATGTTTCAGGTGGAGCGTATGGCTAAATGTGGTGTTTTTCAGGTGGAGTGTATGGCTAAACATAACGATGTTTCAGGTGGAGTTTATGGCTAAACTTAACGATGTTTCAGGTGGAGTGTATGGCTAAACTTAACGATGTTTCAGGTGGAGTTTATGGCTAAACTTAACGATGTTTCAGGTGGAGTGTATGGCTAAACTTAACGATGTTTCAGGTGGAGTTTATGGCTAAACTTAACGATGTTTCAGGTGGAGTGTATGGCTAAACATAACGATGTTTCAGGTGGAGCTTTATGGCTAAACATAACGGTGTTTCAGGTGGAGTTTATGGCTAAAACATAACGATGTTTCAGGTGGAGTTATGGCTAAACATAACGATGTTTCAGGTGGAGCGTATGGCTAAACATAACGATGTTTCAGGTGGAGTGTATGCCTAAACATAACGATGTTTCAGGTGGAGGTATGGCTAAACATAACGATGTTTCAGGTGGAGTTTATGGCTAAACATAACGATGTTTCAGGTGGAGTTTATGGCTAAACATAACGATGTTTCAGGTGGAGTGTATGGCTAAACATAACGATGTTTCAGGTGGAGCTTATGGCTAAACATAACGATGTTTCAGGTGGAGGTATGGCTAAACATAACGATGTTTCAGGTGGAGTGTGGCTAAAACATAACGATGTTTCAGGTGGAGTTTATGGCTAAACATAACGATGTTTCAGGTGGAGTTTATGGCTAAACATAACGATGTTTCAGGTGGAGTGTATGGCTACTACACTGAGAAAGCCCAGTCAGCAACCCTCACACAGGTCGTCAGCAACTTGTGGCAAGATTTCAACATGTTGTGTGTGGAGGAGCAGCCCATTGAGGTACCGACACAAGCGAATGTTTAATCGAAACAGAAACAGAAATCGGCTGGCAACTGAGTACAGAATATCCAGCAAATATAAGCAAAGTCATTTTCCTATTCCTAAGAAATCTCTGCCAACAGCATGTGTCTATGAATCACCTTTTAGATTGTGATGATACCAAAGGTTAATGTATCCTGTCCCAGCGGATGCTCTTGTCAAAAAACATATACAAGGGCAAGCCAACTCCCCACCTGAAAAAGCGAAATATAACAAATTTTATTGGCTAAAATGATATAACATTAGCCTAAAGCATTACCAGTCGTTTTATTTTGGTTGTTTCGTTTGTGCATGTCCGTCTTTCACATCGCCAAGCCCGAGGTGCATTGTGTGCCGACTGACTATCACAATTATAACCTCCAAGAGCAGAGGATTTTGTTCTTGTGAAATAATTATTGATCACATCGATTCCACCTCTGTAATTAGTGTAGGTAATTTTCCTTTTAAAGTGTGCATTCTCAATATGGTATTAGGGAAGAATATCATATAGCGATGGAATCGCAATAAGAGTATCGGCCTAAAATACTCTAGCTGCGTTCACCTCATATCACATTTCTAAGACTGGAGATTTCCTTCACGTAACGATCTTCACGATAAGTTAGGCTGGGTGTCACATAAAACAAAATGTCCTAGTTAAACATAAAATAGTTTTTATGCGATACACGCTGCTCTCAAATTAAGTCAAACATAAGCATCGGAAACCACTCCGTCACTATTCAGTGGCATTGAAATTTGATGTATAAGACTAATGTAAGTATTTACATATTTCCAGATTGTGAACCTACCACTAGAAGTAAGCAAGGACAAACCTGTGGTTGAACAACCTGTACCAATAGACTCCACCGTCAATAAGACCGTTTTCCAGTTTACTTCTCCAGAGAACTCGGACATTGAGGTAGTCAAACATACACATGATTGTCATGGTGAATGTAGACTGTCATACAGACCTTGAAGCAAATATACCCCAGAAGGTCCACGCAAGTCTAGAAAATGTGGCAAGTCACAGCTTCAGCTCAAAATGATGAAAGTCTCAGCGCTCCTTTTCATTATATTTTTTTTTTTACTATGAACTTTTTTTTCTGTAAAATATGTTCATTTCAGAGACTAGCTGTTAGTCCATGGTGAATTGTATTGGATTGTTCGTGAACTGGTACTTCTAGCTACCAATATTCAATAGAAATTCGCGAACCCTTCCTTCTGAGTACAGTTCGAAGTTCTTGAACGTTATTTAAAAGTTGGACGAACATGGATACACGACGTGTTTTATGGACAACACCATTTTCTCTTTACACCGTTTTAGAGCTAAGTCTTGCTCCTCCACCAGGTGATTCTTGGGGGTCATACTATCACCTGATGAAGGAGCAAGACTTAGCTCTAGAAACGTCCAGATAAAGAATGACAAAGTTGTTATCCATACGACGTGTCGTGTATTCATGAGTACAGTTCGTTCCTCTGTACCGCCTCCTTGGTGTAGTGGTTAGAGCGTCCGCCCGGAGAGCGGAAGGTCGCGGGTTCGATCCCCGACCGCGTCATACCAAAGACGTTAAAATATGGTACTTGTTGGTCCCTGTCTGGCCGCTCGGCTTTGATGGGTACAACAAGGACTGGTCGGCTCGGTGTCAATTTAATGTGTCTGGTAGTAGGGTATTCCATGCTTCACTGCGGCATGGTATCTCAGTGGGCTAGCACTATAAAACCAGCTTAAGTCTGGGCTAGTACAAGCAGCCGCCGCACACATACACATCGCATGCACGTCGTCATATGAGCGAAATATTCTCAAGCATGACGTTAAACCCAATTTCACCTTACCTCACCTCGTTCCTCTGTATGTGTAGCTGCAGATTAAAGACCCCGAGAACAGGACCTATGACAGAAACTCACCTCAGTACACAGAAGATCTACGACTCAAAGTGGACAAGTTCACCTTTGACAACCCGCAGGTCAGTGTTGGGTACAAGACCTCTATGATAAGAGCAGCCCAAGAATGAATCTTAGACAACTCATCGAAAAATTACATCCTTCTTATAAGGGGCAGTTGGGTAACTTGGGTAGCCTGATGGTTAAAACGTTCGCTCGTCACGCCGAAGACCCTGGTTCGATTCAAAATATGGGTACAATGTGTGAAGCCCATATCTGGAGTCCCCTGCCGTGATATTGCTGGAACAGGAGTAAAAGAGGCGTAAAAATATGGCTACGGATTTCTCAAAGTAAAAGCTTGGTCCCAGCGTATTCCTTATATAGTCATCATTTTGCGTGTGCATGTCGAACCTCAGATTACGCGAAGTCTTTACGTAAGTGTCTTTGCTTCGACACAACGGGTTTTGCCTGTATATTGATATTTTGAGTCGGTGGAAACCGAGGTAACGATGCGTGACATCTATGCTTGGTTAACAGCCAGGTGAATGGAACGTGACGGTTAGAAGCAAGTCCGTGCATTCAAGACCCGAAGCGGTAATAATGACTGTCAAGGCTGACCCCAAACAGGACTCCGAAACGTATGAGGTCCAGTCATGGCTTGACAGCATAATCGTCAAAGTCCTGCGATAACCCGGATCTACGTATCAGTGACACGAGGTTACTCCCTTTGATTAAGGCCAAGGTGACAGCTACAGTTGAAAGACCAGATGCAGATGCTGTAAATGTGGACCTGAGAGAGATGACGGAAAAGGTACTTTGAAAATTGCGGCATTCGTGACATATGTAAAGTTACAACAGTGCATTAATGTTCATACCATGTCACAATCTATGTAAAGGAGCTACTTAATGCACCTTTCGGTATAGAGCACTGGCTGACCGTAATATATTGCGATTGTTGTGTTGGTTGCTGAACTCAGCAGTCCGCAACATCCATCTACATGACGGTTTTCTGTTAACAATCGATTCTGGACCAGACAATCCGGTGATCAACAGCATGAGCATCGATCTACGCAATTGGGATACGATGACATGTGTCAACCAAGTCAGCGAGCCTGACCACCCTATTGGTCGCCCTCGTAGGACAGCGTCAGTTTACTGAAGACCAATTCTAACCTGGATTTTCCACACTTCCTTCATCTTTAAAGCTGACATTTCATGATGCACCAAACCAAGGTTCCTAATACTAAATCCATCCTGTGGATATTAATAACGATCTTCTTCACAGGTGCTGACGTAGCTGGTTTGACGGTATACACTGGCGAATTCACCGGCTAAGATGCCTTACTCCCTTGCCACGTGTTAGAACAATCGAAAAAAAAAAATACATTATGAGACAATAAAGGTATAGCAATTTTATACAATAATCGGGATGGATTAACAATATCGCTAACAATTGAATAATAACCAACCTCTTTGACGTTATCCCGTCACTGCGCCATTCTAGTGTGCCCCTCGTAATCGAATTATACATTTTACATTACGTCAACAATACATTATGTAAGGTGACGTCACGATGCATGTCAGTTGTCATCGCCTCTGTACGGCCTCCTACAGTAAACTACCCGTTGCATCCCGTTTCTTGGTTTGCAGCTGTTTCACGCAGCTAACATCACTGGTGGAAACATTACGTTTATGTTTTACGACGGTTAAAATGTGTCAATTCGACTCACAAGTTTTCAGCGACACGGTAACGTTCGCAATGTTTACATTCTACACAATGCAATCGTGGAATGTCGCTTGACTACTCAACTTCCTCTGGATGTACTGATCTAAACTTACGCTGATAGTAGAAATGCAACGTTCATATTGCCCAATATGGTTTACGTTAATGACAGGGACAGACTAGCATAAAGTGGATTTCATTCTCAACTGCGGATTTACATAGCCGACAAATTTTCCTGTTCTTATCTATGGACATTTTCCTGCCTGCATTTATCATTAAATCTAACAAACTGGGTCAGACTATCCACGAGCATGTTTCTACGCAACATGAGTGAGTGAGTTTAGTTTAACGCCGCACTCAGCAATATTCCAGCTATATGGCGGCGGTCTGTAAATAATCGAGTCTGGACCAGACAATCCAGTGATCAACAGCATGAGCATATCGATCTACGCAACATGATACGATAACATGTGTCAACCAAGCGTTTAATTGTGGAAGATCACACATCAATTTGTAGTACCCTTTTTAACTTATATCATTTTTAATGAATTACATATTCAGACATTTTTCGAAACATATTATGTAAGGAACACAAAATGGCTGGACAGAACTGACAATTGAGTTGAATTGTTTTCTACAGATTTCGAGAATTTTGAAGATAAGATTATAACATCTCCTGTGGAACCCATGGCACGAAAACCATCTCAAGGGCCAGGAGCATTCGACGTGCGGGGACTGAATCTGAAAGTCGATCAGTTCCCGCCATCTCCAATTACTGACCTCGTTCCCACAGAGGTCAAGGGCAACCGTGTCACGCTTCAGTGGACTGCGCCCGGAGATGACTGGACAGAAGGAACAGGTATAGCTTTCATATCTAGTCTGTCTCACAATCCCTGAACCATATTATTTTCCCCAATGCTTAGCCCTCCCTGCAATGCTAAAGCCCTAAATGAAGCAAGTCTAGATTTCCCAAAATCTCTGGTCTCACTGGGGCACCTTTTCAATTTAAATGGGTTTATTTGCTTCTATAACAATTATATGTATTCAGGGACTAAACGTTAGTCTACTTTCATATCATACTCTCCTTTTGATCGGAGTTACCCTCTTACTGTTTAATATTAACTAGCTACTTGTATGTGTATGATATAAAGATTAAGACCGGTTTTTTTATGTTGGGATGTTGAAAATTCATTTTCCCAACATCGCCTGTTTTTTTATGTTGTGATGCTGAAAATTCATTTTCCCATTATCGCCCGGTTTTTTTATGTTGTGATGCTGAAACTTCATTTTCCATTATCTTCCGTTTTTTAATGTTGGGATTCTGAAAATACATTGTTCCATTTTTCACTCTACATTTTACCCAGAGTACAAGGTGCCAGTAATTTTTTCAACCGTCTTTACAGGCAGTGTCTTTGGATAAACCTGCATTCCTAGCAAGTCGTTTTGCAGACGCTACATGACTCTTAAGTTGAACCAAACTTTATGATTGATCTGATAATCACAAGCATCCCTACCCACAACATAAGATGCTCCGATCTCTCACATAGAAAATGCACAATTTGCAACCATTTATAGACACTATCACGTGGCCTCTTGGCACGTTTAATCAGGTAAATTGTCAGATCAATGCCTGTTGTAATGTTATTCAGTTTGTCTGTTAGCGAACTCATCGTCAGTTTTCAGCGTTCGAATCTCTCGCATTGGGACATTGTCCGGATGTTTTTTCATTTGTCTGTCTTCACTAAAACATGTTTGTATTGTTGCAGCAAGTGAGTACGAGTTCCGAATGTGGCACGACCAAGACGCTCTGAGGAACGATCCAAGCATTGGCATTTCGCTGGCCATCGAGAACACGGAGGGAGGAAAATACTCCCCATCACCCTCCCGAACAATAGAATCAGTGACCATCAAACTTTCGGACAGTTGGCCATTTCCTTTCTATTTCATTGCTGTTATAACACGTGACAATGATAACCACACTTCGGAACTCTCTAATGTCGTCCGACTGCCTCGTTCTGAGACACAATATGACATCATGTCTGACCCCGCCGCCATATTTGCCTATACATATGCAATTGTGTACTTTTTTACTCGACTTATCGAAACATATGCTATTATTGGTTGATTTAATAAATAAAACGAATATTTAAAAAAATTGAAAACTGCACTTCAGATGCTACTTTAGAACATTTTAAAGCCCAAACCTAGTGTCGTTGCCGATGGATTTTATGGTGCTAAATAATCTATCGGTCTAACGTGTCAGTTTCAAGGAGATTTTACTTAATCATAAAACGTCAACGTCAACGTCAGAGAATACCCAGTCTCGATTATCCGCCGAAAGAGATTCCTTTGGGCGTTGGGGCGGTGGGGTAGCCTAGTGGTTAAAGCGTTTGCTCGTCACGCCGAAGACCCGGGTTCGATTCCCGACATCGGTACAATGTGTGTAGCCCATTTCTGGTGTCGGCCTATCCATATTGCTTGAATATTGCTAACAGCGGCGTAAAACTAAACTCAGTCAGTCATTTGGGCGTTTAAGGCAATGTTTTGGTGAAAATAATATCAATGGTTCACTAAAAAATGGTATCATGAATCACCATCAATGTACATATCATCTCTGTTGCATGTTACAATCACCCTATGTTTTCGGGCTCTGATTAGAAACATGTTTTACTCTGAATGGAGGAGTAGACCAAATTTCTCCGATCTCCCTTCCCCCCTCAATCAACCCAAAATATTATGTATCATGTTGATAACCTGGTACCTGTTTACTAAATCCACAATGAAACGCATATACTGACAGTGCAATGTTCTGTGTGTCCGAAGTATCCCGGATGTCCTTTTGCATTTCGTTTCCCGAGTGGAGTATGCTCTCAGCAAAGGTATAGAGTGTGTATCGTTTCTGAAATCAGCTTCGTCAAAAATGCCCAGTTTGCAATAATAATAATAATAATAATGTGTCCATTTATATAGCGCCAAACTCCACACTAGGTATGCTCATAGCGCTAACAATCAAGGTACAGCACATTATTACCCCGGATAACCCAAGCTGCCTGTTAGGCGCTAGAAGGTTAAGTCATATGACTTTTTTCCACCGGGTACCCATGGAAAACAATATCATACTTGACAATCATACTTCAATATTGAGATCTTCCCGTCATACAAATGTATATACAGATCATTAATTTCATGAAATGCCAGAATATAATTTATCTATGTATAAAAAGTTTTTGGAAAAATGAAGACTATTTCTATAGCAAAGATTGTCTTTGTTGTATATGTATGATATAGCATGATGTAAGAACCGTTATTCTTTACTCTTTGCTCAAACTGTGTTTTTTGAATGCCTGGACGGAGATGTAGCTAGTGGTTACAGCGTTCGTTTGACACGGCGAAGACCTAGGTTTGATTCCCCACATGGGTACAATGTGTGAAGCCCATTTCTGGTGTCCTCCGTCGTGATATTCCTGGAATATTTCTAAAAGCGGCGAAAAAACATACTCACTCACTCTTTGAATATCATGATGGTTATCTTGACATGATTGTTCGGATATCTGCGGATCTTCCGTTGAAGATGTGTGCTTGTTATGAACCATACGTTTGGTTCCAGGGTAATGGCAAAAGGGTTCCTACTAACTTGGGGGTTATATACTCTTAAAAACAAGTTGGGGAACCTCAATTTGGATAGGAAGTATAATCGTTAACAAACATTTCAAAGACAGACATCTTATGAACGCATCACCTTTCTCTTTATCACCACCTCTAAACACAACGCATGGAATGCACGTGCACAACGCAGTAGCCCCATACACGTGCATGGAGTGTCATTCTTGACGGTTTTCAAGAAGGTCGATAAGTCACTGTAGACCACTAATTTTGACAATCATCTTGCATCACACAGTTATTAGTGTTTGTATCTAATCGGTTTTTTTTTGTTTCAAAATGGAATCGTACACATGCAAATTTCACGTCACACACCAATTATCTTTCAAGAGCGATTACTGTACAAACAACTATTGTCATAAGGACAGACAGACAGACAGATGGTTTAGTATAGTCTCACCTCATGAATACATAAAAGTATATTAAGTTATTAAAACGAGCCACTCCTTTTGGAGTTATGAGAGACTAAACATTAAAAAGTACAAATTAAAAAAGAAGGATAATATACACAGGTAAAAGGTAAAAACACTACAAGGTATATCAAATATCCTTACGGAAATTTAAAATGGCTTTGCAGGTTTTGGCACTTACATGTACAACATTTGGGCTGGCCTGGATAAAACATAGCTTAACATCATCTAGGACACTAAAATCAGGCCACTCGTCATTACATTTAGTTAAAAGATCTTTATGGACATCATTATAAACTGACCGCCTCCGTGGTGTTGTGGTTAGAGCGTCCGCCCGGAGTGCGGAAGGTCGCGGGTTCGATCCCCGGCCGCGTCATACCAAAAGACGTTAAAATATGGTACTTGTTGGTCCCTGCCTGGCACTCGGCATTAATGGGTACAACAAGGACTGGTCAGCTCGGAGTCAGTATAATGTGTCTGAGTGGGGTATTCATGCTTCACTGCGGCATGGTATCTCAGTGGGCTAGCACTATAAAACCAGCTTCAGTCTGGGCTAGTACAAGCAGCCGCACATACACATACACACGCATGCAGGTCGTCATATGAGCGAAATATTCTCAAGCACGACGTTAAACCCAATTCCACCTCCACTGCCACCACATCATTATAAACTGGACATTGAAGTCAAACATAAGTCTCATCTTCCACACAGTCGGAGGGGCGGTGGGGTAGCCTAATGGTTAAAGCGTTGGCTCGTCACGCCGAAGACCCGGGTTCGAATCCCCACATGGGCACAAAGTGTGAAGCCCATTTCTGGTGTCCCCCGCCGTGATGTTGCAGGAATATTGCTAAAAGCGGCGTAAAACCAAACTCAGTCAGTCAGTCAGCCACACAGTCGGTACAGTTAAAACACACTCTCTCATTGACGGGAAGGTTCGTATAGCGCCCAGTTTCAAGCCTTATCGGTGCAACCCAACATACCGCTAGAGATCCTCTGTTTGGTATCGACATCGGGAGTTTATGGTAGTATTCCACTCTGTAGTCGTCCTTGAACTTGTTATATAGACGCAGTTTGTTACCCCCTTGCCTCTGATACTGTTATCCTAATTTAAAACACTTTCCCACTTTTCTCTGAACTTCATAAAAACTCCTTCTTTCACCTCCTTGACAATACGTCTGTAGTGATAGTTATTTTTGTTGGAATAAAAACCTTCATTTCCAAGGGCTTTATATTTTAAAAGCATGATTATTTGCCCATATAAAATCTTTTCTTGATAGTCTGTGGTCTTGAAGGGAACTTAATCGCTTGTAAAACTTAGACACGGTCTCCCATTGGCGAACTGTAGGTGGAGTCCATCCCACTTGTGTAGCGACCAGAACTGGGATAAATACAAACTGTGGCCTGTTTATCCCTGTTCTGGGCGTATCGCCGCTACACACCTACGTGCTCCGTGTTTTGCGCCCATGTCTGCAGTGCGAGCTACACATGCACCAGAAGGTGATTGACAGGTCCTTGATCTGTAGATAGTATCTGACGTTCTATCCTGTTTCAGCGCAGCGTGATTTTGAGACGGGAGATTGATACGATAGTAGGGTACATTTGCGACTGGCGTTTTGAATAGTACTTCAACAGGATTATGTCAATTTGGCACGCAAAGTCACCTTCCGTTTAAAAGTATCTTTCAATGTATTAGTCATGAGAGATTTTAAAGTCACCTTCCGTTTAAAAGTATCCTTCAATGTATTAGTCATGAGAGATTTTATGAGTTTCACACTTACCTGAACAAAGTAAACAATTACTTTTTTAGAAAACAAATTTGGCAGCTTCCAAACAAGGTATCCTGTCCGAAACCTTCCGGAACCTAAACAGGTCGGTTTGGGTGGTTTTCCTGAAAATGGAGATGTATATTTTCATGGTGAGAGTGTCAAGAAGGAAGATCTCGAGTGTACAGCTAGTGCTAACAGACTATGGGTCACCGCCGGGGAGATTCTGGGATTCTGTATACATGTATGATCAACAAGCAAACACGTCATGGGTACTCCATTCAGACAGGGTACACTGACTCCGAGCCGACCCTTCTTGTTTCATCTCCTCATTGTCGAGCGCCAGGCAAACATCACAACTTGCTGCCATGGATTAAAGTAGATGGATGTACAGTTTCAGCGAAAGGCAGGTTGACAACATCACAACTAGCTGCGGTGGATTAAAGTAGATGGGTGTACAGTCATTGCCGAAGTATAAACTGTGCACTGAATAATATTCTAAACTAACACGTTTTGAAATATCAATCCTTGTCTGATAGACAGCTGGCTCACCAAGACAGAATTGAAATATCAACCTTCGTCTGATAGACACGTGGCTCTCAAGAATGAATTGAAATATCAATATTCATTGTCTGATAGACACGAGACTCACCAAGACAATTGAAATATCAATCTTCGTCTGATAGACACGTGGCTCACCAAGACAATTGAAATATCAGTCTTCGTCTGATAGACACGTGACTCACCAAGACAGAATTGAAATATCAATCGTCGTCTGATAGACACGTGACTCACCAAGACAGCATTGAAATATCAATATTCGTCTGATAGACACGTGACTCACCAAGACAATTGAAATATCAATCTTCGTCTGATAGACACGTGGCTCACCAAGACAGAATTGAAATATCAATCTTCGTCTGATAGACACGTGACTCACCAAGACAATTGAAATATCAATCTTCGTCTGATAGACACGTGTCTCACCAAGACAGAACAGATTTAGCAGTCCTTCTCTCCAGACACCATATCGTTACCACAGATTCTGTACTGATTGTGTCGCCATATTGACATGCAGAACTACCAACCATAGTTGAAGAAAAATTCTATTTGATTTGTATGGAGAGCAATATTTTTTTCACCAGCAATTTCACACAAATTAGTTACTCAGTAAGAACCATCAAACTGTCTATTCTATTCACAATGTACACAGAGGTTCGGCGTCGGGTTATCATGTGGACGTGTGAGCTGGTGTCCTGCCAACATATTTGAATGTATGAATGAATGGATGCGTGATCATGTTGTATGGGTGTTTGTATATATAGTTGGTATTGGATTGTGACATCTTTTGCAAAGTAAACAAGGCTAAATTATACTTTGCTATCACTGATAGTCATTATATTATTATAGTTACCATGACGTCTGTACCTCGTTTTGGGTGATCTTTGTACAGCATGTATTGCTGTATCTGTTTTTTGTACCACATATTGCACAAATGATGAGACATGAATAGAAACGTTTGTATTATTGTACTGTAGCGTATCTTTTAACGTCTTTCGCTTTGATGCCACCAGGGATCGAACCATCAACAGTCAGCTCTCTGGACAATTGTTCGATGCGCTATACCACGGAGGCAGTCGTTGTAGAGGTGAGTGAGTGGGTGTGTTTTTACGCTATCTTTCCAATAATCATGCAATATCCAAGCGGGGGACTCCAGAAAGGGACTTCACACACTGCACCCATTACGGGAAGCTAACCCGGATCCTCGTTAACTGTTGCAACACTTAATTTTAAGAATACTAATCTCCTGCTAATGGGGTGGGTTTGGAGACCATCTCCTTGTCTCACGCCTTCAACAACACTGATAGAGTGACCAAAGACAAAACTAAAAAGAATTTAGTACAGTGTTCACTCACTACAAGTTGTTATAATACATAAACACGTCGCAATTTACT